ACAATACTGAAAAAAGAAAAAGCCTAAAGGCAAACTTACGTACTGAATAAAGTATAGTGCTCGAAGCCCACATTGCATAGATCGATAAAAAAAAAGAAAAGTTTACCAAGGTTAAATCTTATGAAAGGATGGCTGAAGTTGTGACTCTAGTTTCACGCTGACGCAATCTTCATACGGAATTAACGTTTGTAAGCGTTTTGTTTTTGCTCGCTTCGAGCAATTTACTTTTCTCAATATGTTATATGAGACACTGAAGTCAGTAGCATTTGCTATAGTCTGTTCGATGCTTAAACGTAACCTTCATGTTGACCACAGTGTGCACTTTTATGTTTACATACGCTTTCCCTGATTTTTCAGTACTTTTGCCCATATATATATATATATATATATATATATATATATATATATCAAAATAATGGGGATAGATCTGTTTTACTGACGAAAACTTCGTCAGTCTTATTCAACTCCCGTATTTTCGACTGACTTTTTTTTAAGAATTAAAAATTCAATTGTGCAGCTGTCGAAAAATTAATGCAGGAATTTTCCATTTCAATGTTTCAGCCAGATGAAAGATACGAGGCAGCAGTCAGGGAATGGCGGAAGCTATTATCCTTAAAGGGAAAAATTGTTATAGAATTAAACCCCGATTTAACCTTATGACATTAAATTGTGATTATATGAATAGTGAAGTGTTAATTTGAAACTAAGAGAGGAATGAAAAGTATATTTTTAAATTTTTATTGAGATAGGGTTAAGATTATACATACAAGATCCTATTTAAAGATCTTCCAAGGATAAATTATACTCAAAAGTGAAATATATTTAATAAATTAAAAATAAGTTTTATTTAGATGATTTATAGTAAAATTAAGTGTGATGATAATTAGAAATAATTATAATTAATAAAAAATATTGTTATATTATAGAATACAAAATTTATAAAAAATATCTAAGAAATCTAAATATACAAAATTTTATTTAGAAAAATAAACATATCAAGAAGTGTAAGAACAGGGTCTATTACAATATATAATTAATATGTTGTAAAAATATAGAAATCATAATTAGTTATATATTTGACATATAAAAGGTTAGAGAAATAGTAGTTAATATGTTAAAATCTATATTATGGAAATAATAATTTATTTGTATGTCGACATTTTAAAACTAATTAATTCTTTTAATACAATAGTTTGCATTGATTATTGTATTTTATTATTCTAATTTTATATTATTTTAATTATATACCAACGGATTTATCACCTTTATATATATATATATATATATATATATATATATATATATATATATTAATGCGAAGATTAGTTGTTTCCATAAGAGAAAACATGCGGCATTCATTGGCCAAAAGGATATCTTTACAGTCGATAGCCATTCATAAACTATTTCCATTAATCAAATTTTGAAGGAAATTCGATTCTTCAATCCACTCGAAAGAGCTGTTATCGCTCTCTCCGGTATAAATGGAAGTATTCCTGCGTAACCTTATCTTTGAGTTAGTGCTATCCATTTTAGTTCTTCCTGCTGTTGGAAGTTTCTAAGTGAAGTATTTTTTTATTATCTGGAATCTTTTTCTGACTGTGTAGTGCCAGTCTATTATAATTGATGAAGGATAATCTTCTTAAGATGTACAGGGTCATTCAGTTGAATCCATATATCGTACGTTAACTTGCCACTTGTGCTGATCAACATTTTAAGCAAGCCCATCTCACCATTCAATAACGAATTATCTGACGCCTGAGGCGTCCCCTAAAAAGGCTAAATAGCCGTAGATTAGACTACTTTTAGATATTTACGCGTGGTCCTCACTTTAAACGTGGCCGATTGAAGCATTCTGTTTGAGCAAAAGTGCTGATATATATACCTTTCAAATATCTCCATTACTGAAAGAATTACTCTCTTCCGAAGCCAATGTATATAAGTATTAAGTATATAACACCTACATTAATCCCAAACTAAAAGAAACTAAAATAATTTGAATGTTAATTGCCTTAAAAAAATTCAAATTCATTTTGTCACGTTGGTTTGTTGGACATTTTGAATTGTGTCGTCCTCCATAGCTTGCCTAGACTTTTCGGCTAACCTGAGGAACGTTCTTAATTTTTAAGTTTGATAAACCTATAACATTTTTGCGTTGGATTTAAATACTTGTTACAAAAGTAAAATCCTTGATAATGTCTCTCAGAGGAAAAAACACATTGGCTAAGATAAGTTTTTCTTTTGTCTTTATTCATATACCCTGAACTTAGTGTCATTCGTGGACCTATCGCATATTACATGCTTAATCGAGAAAGAAAGTATCTCTTTTATTATATATTATTATATGAGGAGGTTTTTTAAAAAGTCTCGACCCACTTCCCAGTATCGAATCAAATTAGCAGCCTACAGAATATTTTAGGATTGAGTTCTTGGTCGTCCCGAGAAAGTTTACTACCCAAATTTGTCTAGATTAGGTATTGTAACTATTTGAACTATTTACATCGTTCGGACTGTTGTCCCAAATTTATTTTGCTGTCATGCGTAGAAGTTCCAGTAGCCTAGTAGATAGCGGCTTGGCGAGCTGAGTTTAAATTCCAGCCGAGTTCATTATATTCTCTTTAGCACAAATTCCCTTCGGAAATTTATGAATCAATCTCTTCTCCGAGATATTGGTTTGATAACAGATCAGACTGAGAATTTCAGCCCTGGTTGGCAAACATTCAAACGAGAAAGAAAACTGTCATATACCGTAACTATGGACACTAATGGGTATGTCCCAGTCCTCATAAATACGTTGGACACTATTGTAAGTCGGGGTAATATGGTGTCTAAGTAGTCCACCACTAGTGGTTTACCTAGTTTACGGCGTTGGTGAGTATTTTTCTTTTGGCTATTCCTCATTCAGTAGCATTTTTTAGGTTACACCATTTTGGTAACGAGTTTGAGATTTTGACACAAAAAGGAAAAGAAATTGACTCTGTGCAGAGTAAATCTAAAAAGTGTGGGGTGTTATATACCTTACATATGAACATTAATATGTATGTCCCAGTCCTCATAAATATGTTGGACACTGTTGTAAGTGGTCGGGTAATATGCCGTCTAAGTAGTCCACAACTAGCAGTGGTTTACCTATTTCACGCCGCTGGCGAGTATTGTATTTTATTGATGTTATAAAGATTACCATTTCATTCCCAACATTCCTTTTGGTTATTCCTCATGCAGTAACATTTTCTTGGTTACACCATTTTGGCGACGAGAATGAGATATTTACACCAAAAGGAAAAGATATTGACTCCGTGCAGAGTAAATCTAAAAAGGGTGGGGTGTTATATACCGTAACTATGAACACTAATGTATATGTCCTAATCCTGAAAAATACGTTGGACACTAGGTGTGTGTGTGTGTGTGTGTGTTAATGTGCTGTTTAAGTAGTCCCAAACTAGCAGGGGTTTACCTACTTCACGGCGCTGGCGAGCATTTTATTTTGTTGATGTTATAAAGATTATTATTTCATTTCCAAACTCTGTTTTAGTTATTCTTCATTCAGTAAGCCTTTAAAGGTTACAACTAAAACTAATTTCTCCAATCCCCAACATCATTCCCATGGAAAGACTTGGTCGTATAAAGAAAGACTCCCCCCCCCGCAACAGCTAAAAAAAAAAAAAAACGAACCCTTCCTCAAAGGAGATATTTTGGGTTCTGGAGTGCCAATCGTCGCACTACTGGAACAATTCGATAGCAGATACCAAAGAGGGCATATGTACAACAAGGCACCAAACAGACTAAATATCACTTCTCAAGTGAATGTACTTGTCAGAAAAAAAAATGTCCAAGAGAATATTGGATTTCGCTGGAGGCATCTCACTAATCATGCACACAACTTTCTACAAAATTCTACCATCTAATTCGATCAGACGAAACTTACGACAATGACTTTTATAAAACACATTTTTTTTCTTACTAAAAAAACAATAGCGATCAAAAACATACAGATCTATCTTAAGCGTACATTGTCAATCCTTAATCATATGTATTCTTTCGAACACAGACAGATACAAGTACTTTATGAATCTGGAAAAGAAGAAAACAAAGAGACCTACGAATAGAAATATAAAACGGTATCTTTTTGTCGAAAAGAATAGTAACGCTATACTTTCTGTTTCATATCAGTCAAACAGCTTGTGTTTTTTTTACTCTTAGGATCTCGATTCAATAACAGATACTATTTTTTTGGTTTAAAATGTTTGTAGAACATTGGGGAATTACGAATTAGGAAACTATGAAGAAAAATAAAATACAGATATTCTTAATCCATGTACCAAAAGCATACACAAAATAAATAAGATGATAAGATGTACTCTCATGCAAATATATATATATATATATATATATATATATATATATATATATATATAACCTCGTAAGAGAATCAAGGCACTGATTACAGTGGCAGGATTGGAATATATATATATATATATATATATATATATATATATATATATATATATATATATATATATATTGTGTGTGTGTATGTGTGTGTGGCTGGGTTGGGCATGTGTTCGCATGTGTGAGTGTGGTTGTTGGTGTGACTGTTTAATTATATATTTATTTATGCATGAAAAGGGAAAATAAAAATGGTATACACACACATACATACATACACACACACGCGCATACATATGTGTATATATATATATATATTGTAAAGATTAATCCGGTAAAAAAGTGTGACGTCACTGCCGCTCACAAAAAAACAACAAGATTACGCTTGTGCGATGGTGAAACAAATCTAAAAATGGCGCGAGCATGCGCAAGAGAGCATGAGAGAATGCGAGAGCGAGAGCGAGAACTAAGCTCAGAATCAGCACAAGCGAGGGAAAAGTGCGGGGAAGATGACGTCATAACTGTTTTACAGGCTTGCCATAGTTTTGATCGGCCATTTTGAGCAGTCAGAGCTCGGCAGAGTGCACCGTTCGGCAAAGAAAAGAACAAATTCACTGATGTTAAGCTATCGTTCCTTCAGTTTGTCGATCTATCGATCTATCGTTTTTCGCGTATTTAAGCCCTACCCCTTCTTTCTGCATGTGTACATTGTTTGGCTTCTATTGCAGTTGGAGCATCTCGACCAGGAGCAATATATATATATATATATATATATATATATGTATGTATGCCAATAATATATATAAATATATATATATATATATATATATGCCAATAATATATATATGCTAATAATATATATATATATATATGTGTGTGTGTGTGTGTGTGTGTGTGTGTGTGTGTGTAAAGTAGGGAGAATGATCATTCAGTCCGTAGTCTCAAATGTAGTTATTTACTGAAATTTGCTGTAAAAATTATACTGCATAATGTTTGATCGATGTAAATAATCAGTTCTGAATTGAGTGCATTGACACAGAAAGATATTATATTGAAAGACGAATATATTGAAATAAAACAAGTTCTTTTTCCTCAGTCAGGCATCTATCTATCTATCTATCTATCTATGACAGTTTGAATCTTTGAGATTATCTATCTGTTGGTCTATATATCGATCTCTGTTCATATCTATCTATGATATACTGTTCCTATCTATCTATCTATCTATCTATCTATCTATCTATCTATCTATCTATGACATCCTGTTCCTATTTATCTATTTATATATCACAATTTGTTTGAATCTTTCAGATTATCTATCTGTTGGTCTATATATCAATCTCTGTTCATATATATCTATCTTATCCTGTTCCTCTCTATCTATTTACCTATCTATCTGTCTATCTATCTATCTCGCTCTTGGTTATAGATTATTATTGGTAAGTTTTATATGCATACTATTACTACAGTATTTGTTTTTATTCTCTGGGCACTCTTCATCTCTGGCCTTATGGCAAACTATTCTAAGCTTTCCGTCTATCAATACTTACTTATATTAGTTCATGCAATTTAAGCCATTATCTGTAACATTGAAAAGATAAAACTCATTTAAGAGATTTCATTAATCTCTCTTGGGCATGAAACATTGTCGGACCATCCTAAAGAATGCCGCTTTCTTTTCTGAAAATATCAACTCATTTTGAGATCTTGATTATAAATCGCTGTTGGGTTTGTCTTTGAATATTTCTGTTCTCTCTTCTAATATTAACTATGCCCTGTTCTTAGGGCTACTTCTTTTTGCTCACTTAAATACCTGCTCAAGTAATACAAGGCCCGAGAAACACTCAAGCTAGAGTGTTACTGTGTGGAGTTGTATTAGCGTAAGAAAGGCCGAGATAACAGGAAAGATAGAAAGCTAATTCTAGACTTTGAATTGGTCAAGATTTAATTAGTGAATAAAGTTTCAGATTTCAGTCGGTTAGGTTAAGAATATAGAGTTGAATTAGACTTTAGAATGGACCACAAACCCAATTCTAATCAGGAAATAATGGGATAAATGTCTGCTCCTGTTCAAAAGATCGGGGAGAAGTGTGGACCGGACGATACGCGCACTTATCTACTTCTAATGGGAGAGGAGAACATTTTTCACAGAATAATATTTTAGAGTTCAGGTGGAGCCGTCAGTTGAAGGAACCGGAAACCTAATCCTAAACAGAGAACAAGGGATGACCCTCTGTTTCTGTTCAAAGGTCTTGATAGATTAATCTTTTTGACGAACCTGTTTTCTCCTATTCCCTTGCTTTATATATATATATATATATATATATATTTTAGGCATTTAAAACAACATGCCTGCCCGCACACACAATTCCGTAAAATACTTGTCGAAAACACAACTATACTTCGACATGAAAACAATAGACAAAAACTAAAAATACTTGAAGCATTATACATCAAACAGTTAAAACCCAACCTAAACAAAATCAACTATGGAATCTCTACAAATATTCTTAAATGTCTATAATTTCTATAATTGGTAACAGAAGCCATTGGTTTATACCAACGGCTTTCCTTACTTCATTCTCCAATTCACTCTCGTGTAGTCATGTGTGACGTCATGAGATGCGGTGCGATTTTCGCTTCTAGCGTCTTATATGCGCGTGTTCATCGTTGCTTAGTGATCCACTATGTAAACTAAACAATGACAGACTGTCATCACTGTCGTGTCCGTATATTGTTTGATATGTTTGTAATTACATCTTTGATAATGGCTTGAGTAAGCCGAAAGCTTAGATTATATTAAAAATAATGGATAAATATTGTGAATTTCTTTTTCGGTTAATGATAATGTTATCAAACTTATCAGAAGATACGAAAAAATTTTACATAAAATAGACAACACTTGTCTATATTATTTAATGAAACGTGTATATATATATATATATATATATATATATATATTAAGCATTTCACCCCAAGCAAGGCGGGAAGCCACTAGGACGCAAGGGGTTACAGAAAGTTTAGACCAAGATAAGATAGGAGTGATAGAAGGAAGGATGAGGGTAGTGGATAGATCAAGGCAACTGGACATGTCGATTGACATTACACTTGAATAGCTGGAGATTATAGCTCACAGGGAAACAGGAATAGGGAAGGGAGTTCCACAGGCGAGAGGTGCGAGACATGAAGCTATAAGAGTAGAAGAGACGGCTACATTTAGGAGTTTCGACAGTGAAGGGGTAAGAGCGAGATGCCAGCCTCGTCGGGCGCTGGAACTCATGGCGTCTGGGAACCAGCGAATGCAGCTCCTCGGAACAATTTCCATGAAAGTATTTGTAGAACAGAGGGGGGCGACGGCGCGTCTGTGAGAACGTGACTGTAGACGAGACGCCAGAGCAAGGCCAACTACATTGCATATTCGCCTCTTGAGCCTATCAAGAACCCCGAGGCAAACAGAAGGGGCACCAGACCATATATGGCAGCAATACTCCATGCAAGGGCGAATTGTTGATTTGTAGATCTGGAGGATATGACTTATGAATGTCAAATTTTACAGGCGTTAAAACCCTTTTTTTTTAAAAGTACGTCCCTTCAAGACGTAGGCATTGATGACTCTCTATAGGTTATTTTCTTTTATTATCACTTGAATAAAGTCTTGAAAAAAGACAGGGTTGCTTTCATTTCCTTCATGGCTTTTAATACAGTTTTTCTTCTTTGTTTGCATACAAATTCTAATTATCCCTGTTTGACCAACTTTTTAACCCATATCTGTAGGAAGGGAAAGTGAAATATTCATGATTTTTCAGTTAACATTAATGCGAAAATAAACGCAACATTCTAGTCCGAGATTCTCAATCCCGGTTCGCCAAAACCACGTTGAATCTCGCACAGCCCGTTCTTTTGAATGATGATTGACCAACAGTCGTTTTCTAATTGTTATCAATAGTTTCTTAATTTATTCTAAGCGCTTGTAACCGAGAAACCTACCACTGGCCGCTCCCCATGAAAAGCAGCAATTAAATGATTAAATTTACCGAGGTGTATGACAGGCTATAGTATAGGAAAAAATTAAATTTGTTTGTCTTCTCTATTCTCTGTCTATTCAAAGACAACCCCAACAGCTTAGGAGAAGGCAAACCAGTTTAATCTCTTCCTATACTATGGCCTGTGCATATACAAGCACAGATGTGAAGAGATTGGCACTAGTCACATAAGCGGGCGATACTGTATTCCAAACTGATATCCTCATAGAAATCGAAGACATTGCTTTTTTAATGACATACGTTTTTATAGTTGGGATAACAATGACTTTACCAACATCCTCTACCAAATGTTATAAGAAATAAGACTCAATAAAGACCTTTACAAAACAGAAAATATGATCTGAAATTCGAATGAATGGTAGCCACTCTGAATCCATTTAAAACAAAATGCATTATGGGGAAATAGTAAATACTAAACACTTCAAATACTCCAGAATATGGATCAATTATAATAAATTTAGTGTAGGAGATACAAAAATATGCTTTGACCTGTAATAAGACGAAAACTTGCCTTGGTGTATCGATCAATTATAACAAATTTAGTACAGGAGATAAGGACATTGAATATAGAAAAGGCTACACTAGATGGAGTTTGAACTGTAAAAATGATGAAACCTTGCCTTGGTGTATGGATCAATTATAACGAGTTTAGTATAGTAGATAAGGAAATTAAACATAGAATAGGCTGCACTAGAAGGGATTTGAACTGTAAAATGATGAAACCTTGGCTAGGTGTATGGATCAGTTAAAATAAATTTAGTTTAGGAGATAAGGACATTGAATATAGAATAGGGTGCACTATGTAGAATTTGGTAATAGCAACAGACAGTACTCCACTGTAACAGAAATTGAGACTGACTGACTAAGTTGTTACGCCGGACAAGTTGATAGGTGGTTTATATAACGACCTGGTAGATTCAATTCTGTTACCCAGGCAAGCCTATTCTCTGATTGGCTAATGATTATGGTGTAGGTATTGTGCTCAGTAAATACCTCATCAGTATACCATGACTCTATGGGAATACGTATTGAGTTACAACCCACTTTATTTTTGTCTGCCAACTGGACGCGAGTTGGAAACCTCCTTCCGAGGGTGAGTCTCACTCCGGGTTGTTCACACTACAGAGAGTTTGAATAGCAAAATGATGAGACCTTGTTATAACAAATTTAATATAGGGGATAAATATATTGCACATACCAAAAGTGTAAAAGTGGTCATGGTTAAAAAAAAAGGTTAAGAACTACTAATTTGGACTATTTATTGATAGATTTGTTTTTTTTTAACGGCATATCAACTCCTTATGGGTTATTTACTGCCGAAATGTAATTTTCTTGGAAGCGTGGAGGCAATAAAAATAATATGTTATTCTACTTTCACAATTGAGTACATGGTAGATGATAATCAGATTTTGCGTCTATATATGATTGTGTGGATCTAATAAGTAGAAGAGGTGATATGCTGTACTTTTGTTGAAGTTGCATTTTGGAATACTGTTTGATTTTTAAAAAAATGTAGGATATTATATGGATTAATGTCATGAAAGAGTTCTTTAATGTTGGTTGTTTGGTAATGTTTTAAACCGATTTGGGTGAAGTCGTTACAACTTGTTAATATGTGCGTATTGCTGGTAATTTTATATTTTAATGTTTTAATTAATGTTTTAATGTTTTAATGTTTTAATGTGAAGTCGTTACAACTTGTTAATATGTGCGTATTGCTGGTAATTTTATATTTTAATGTTTTAATTAATGTTTTAATGTTTTAATGTGAAGTCGTTACAACTTGTTAATATGTGCGTATTGCTGGTAATTTTATATTTTAATGTTTTAATTAATGTTATAATGATTTAATGTTTTAATGTTTTTAGTAATTTTATATTTTAATATGTGCGTATTGCTGGTAATTTTAATATAAATATATATTGTTGGCATTTTTTAATATAAAAATGTATTGATAGTATTTTTATACTTCCTTAGGGTTTTGTTTTGTTTGGGGGGGGAACTATTTGCCCATAGCTGGGACGCTAACAGGTGCCACCACAATAGATTAGGGTTGACCTGGAAACAACAACAATTAAGATGTTGTTCAATGCTCTTCAAAACTTTAAATTTTCCGATCAGAGGCCTTGCTGCCGCGTTTAATTTATCGTCATACCCAGGACTGTCTTTTTAGATATTGACGTTTTCGTCTAGATTACATATTTTAAGGCAGGTGTGGCAATTCTTCTGAAGATTCACGTTTCTTTATTTTTGTCTGTTAAATCATTTTTAGCATGTCGGCAACATTAACGTATTTTTTCTTTCATTATTTTTGTGACAAGTAAAAATCAGAGAAGATACTTGAATAATAAAATATTAAAAGGGGGAAAAAACGAAACA